TGGTGAGCCTATGCCTTGGAAGACAGAGGACAAGCCTTCCACATCATCACCACCCCCGAAGAAAGAGACTTGAGTACATGGGTATGGGCACTCCCCTTGGCTTGTGTCAAGCTTGGGGAGGTGCCCCGGTATCGTATCGTATCACCATCACATGTTTATCTTTACCGTTTATCTTAGTTTGATCTTTTTGGTCTTGTCGTCATCTAGTAGAATAAAAGTTTTAGTATGATCTAGTCTTTGAGTTTTGCTTTGTGATCTATCTATGTAATCGAGTCCGAGAGTTATATAATAAAGAGTAGTTTTGAGTTGAGGGGTTTGCTTTCTTGCTTTGATCTTGGAAAGGAAATTAAATAAAAGAAGTAAAATGATTATATAATGATCTTATGGAAAGTGATGACTTCACATATAAGAAGTATGTCACATGAAATTTACTGAGGGTTGACAAACATACTATTGGTCATTTTTGCAATTAATATGAAGTAATAAAGAAAGAGAGGTTTCGCATATAAAATACACTATCTTGGACATCTTTTGTGCTTGTGAGTACTCACTAAAACATTATATGCTAATAAGTTGATGTTGGACAAGGAAGACAACATAATGGGTCATGTTTTCTTATATCCGAATAGAAGTTATATTGTCATGGATCCCCCAACATGTTGAGCTTGCTTCTCATCCTATGCTAGCCAAAACTTCCGCACTAAGTAGAGATACTACTTGTGCATCCCAAAACCCTTTAACCCATTTTTGCCATGAGAGTCCACTATATCTACCTATGGATTGAGTAAGATTCTTCAAGTAAGTTGTCATCGGTGCAAGCAATAAAAATTGCTCTCTAAATATGTATGATCTTTTAGTGTGAGGAAAATAAGTTTTATACGAACTTGTGATATGGAAGAAATAAAAGCGACAGACTGCATAATAAAGTTCTTTATCACAAGCGGCAATATAAAGTGACGTTCTTTTGCATTAAGATTTCATGCATCCAACCATAAAAGCGCATGCCAACCTCTGCTTCCCACTATGAAGGGCCTATCTTTTACTTTTACCTTCTACCTTTATACAAGAGTCATGGTGATCTTCACCCTTCCTTTTTATATTTCTCTTTTTGGCAAGCACTATGTGTTGGGGATGATCCATACATGTATACCCACTTGGATGTAGGTGATCATAAACTATTATTGTTGACATTACCCTAGAGGTAAAAGGTTGGGAGGCAAAACTATAAGCCCCTATCTTTCTCTGTGTCCGATTGAGGCTTTGATATCATAAGTATAGTGTGAGTGTTACCAATTATGAAAGACTAAATGATGGTTGGGTATGTAGACTTGCTAAGTTAAAGCTCTAACATTGACTCTTTCCGATGTTATGATAAATTGCAATTGCTTCAATGACCGAGATCATAGTTTGTTAGTTTTCAATAAAGTTTTTGGTTCATATTTTACCTTGTGAATGATTTATCACTTTAGCATGAGAAGTTATATGACAATATGTTCCTGTTCTAAAGATGATCATGATGCCCTCATGTCCGTATTTATTTTTGTCGACACCTGTATCTCTAAACATGTGGACATGATTATCGATTTTGGCTTTCGCTTGAGGACAAGCGAGGTCTAAGCTTGGGGGAGTTGATACGTCCATTTTGCATCATGCTTTCATGTTAATATTTATTGCATTATGGGCTGTTATTTCACATTATGGTACAATACTTGTGCCTTTTCTCTCTTATTTTACAAGATTTACATGAAGAGGGAGAATGCCGGTAGTTGGAATTCTGGACCAGAAAGGAGAAAATCTGAGATACCTATTCTACACAATTCCAAATGTCCTGAAACTTTACAGAGAATTATTTTGGAATATATAAAGAATATTGGGCGAAGAAACAACAGAGGGGGACCCACCAGGAGGCCACAAGCCTGGGGGGCGCGCCCTACCCCCCAGGGCTTATGTGCCCCCTGGCCATCGTCTGATGCCCATCTTCTGCTATATGGAGTGGTTTGACCTAGAAAACAAATAAGAAGAGAGCTTTCAGGACGAAGCGCCGCCGTCTCAAGGCGGAACCTAGGCAGAAGCATCTAGGGTTTCGGCAGAGCTATTCCGCCGGTGAAACTTCCCTCCGGGAGGGGGAAATCAAAGCCATCGTCATCACCAACAATCCTCTCAGGGAGGGAGGGTCAATCTTCATCAACATCTTCATCAGCCCCATCTCCTCTCAAACCCTATTTCATCTCTTATATTCAATCTTTGTCCCAAAACCTCGGATTGGTACCTGTTAGTTGCTAGTAGTGTTGATTACTCTTTGTAGTTGATGCTAATTGATTTATTTGGTGGAAGATCATATGTTCATATCCTTAATGATATTCAATACCCCTCTGATCTTGAACATGAACATGCTTTGTGAGTAGTTACGTTTGTTCCTGAGGACATGGGAGAAGTCTTGTTATAAGTAATCATGTGAATTTGGTATTCGCTCGATATTTTGATGAGATGTATGTTGTCTTTCCTCTAGTGGTGTTATGTGAACATCGACTACATGACACTTCACCATGATTTGGGCCTAGGGGAAGGCATTAGGAAGTAATAAGTAGATGATGGGTTGCTAGAGTGATAGAAGCTTAAACCCTAATTTACGCATTGTTTGGTAAGGGGCTGATTTGGATCCACATGTTTCATGCGATGGTTAGATTTATCTTAATTCTTCTTTCATAGTTGTTGATACTTGCGAGAGGGGTTAACCATAAGTGGGAGGCTTATCCAAGTAAGGGCATCACCCAAGCACTGGTCCACCCACATATCAAATTATCAAAGTAACGAACACGAATTATATGAGCATGATGAAAACTAACTTGACAGTAATCCCATGTGTACTCGGGAGCGCTTTGCTTTATGTAAGAGTTCATCCAGGCTTATCCTTTGCTATAAAAAGGATTGGCCCACCTTGCTGCACCTTTGCTACACTTGTTACTTGTTACCCGTTACGAATTATCTTATCACAAAACTATCTGTTACCGATAATTTCAGTGCCTACAAAAAATACCTTGCTGAAAATTGCTTGTCATTTCCTTCTACTCCTCATTGGGTTCGACACTCTTACTTATCGGAAGGACTACGATTGATCTCCTATACTTGTGGGTCATCAGGAAGCATGGATGTGTGATTAAGGAATTGTATATGAAGGATGACAACACTTCAAACTATGCATTACGCCTAATTAGGGCGTAAAACAATAGGGCTTGTTGGGAGGCAACCCAATAGCTATCTTTATTTTTCTTTTTTCTTTCTTATTTTTTTGTGTGCACATAATTATGCTACTGTTATAGTTGTGTTTTTGTGTTTAAATTATTGTGCCAAGTAAAGCCTTTGGGATGATTTGGATGAATGGCTTAGGAATCCGAAATAGCATTGTATTTAGGCACCGCCGTAGATGCACACTAGCGGGGATTTCGGACCCCTGGGAACTCTCTTAATCATTTGTCTCAAGTCTAGTCATTTTACTTCTTATTTATTTCAGCTCATTTATTCACCTTTACACTTGCAACCTTATTATTATCATCACTACTATTTCGGATCACTTACAATTAGTAGGCACATTATTTGCACCTTGCAAAGGACTAAAGATTGATTCATGTGCTCCTTGTGGGGTCGATACTCTTACTTCGAAAAGGCTACAAGAAAACCCTGTGCACTTGCAGGCTATCACGGGGTAAGAAATGCTGCAGCAGCTCGTTAGTTCGTGTACCTGCATGGGATTTGAAAAAAGGTGTTTGAAATAGTTAGTTACCACCGCCGCCATCTCCTCCATCTCCATCTCCACCCCTCCATCATCTTTTCTTAATATTTTACTCTATTCCTTCTCGTACTCTCATAAGCATATTGTGGAAGTACTTTGTGTTTCGGTCTCCTTTAGCCAACCAATCAATGTGTGCCCCCTTTTTCCAATACATGTTGCGCTATATGTGAGAATATGTTCCTTATTTATGTCTCGATATCACCTTTGGTAGGGGATTAACTGGGCATGATCTTAAGATAGTACTACTACCATTGTACATGCCCTAGGAGCATCTCTTGTAGATCCCGTAAAAGCTGGCCGGGCTGCATTTTTCCGGCGGTTTTACGGGACGAACGAAAATGATGGCTTGAACAGGTCGACTAAAAATGGCCCGGCCCGTAAAAGTTTGACGAGAGGCCCGTAAATCGACACCGAATCCCACTTATATACTGGATCCGGTCGATTTTAGGGTATCCATTCGCCATTTTCCTTATCCACTTGCCCGCAAATCCTCTCTACTCTGGCGAGAAATCCCTTTGCTCCGGCAGCCGTTTGCGCCGCGCATAGCTACCGTAGTAGATACGTGATGTCGTGCGCGGGCGGCAGAAAGAGTGGCTGAGGGGGGTTCGACGACCGCGGCAGCGAGCCGCCTCGCAAGCGCTGTAATGATGGTGAGGCGGGGATCTCCTCCCTCTGCCCGTCGTTGGAGGAGTGGCGCCGTGCGCAGGCGCGGCACCCACTCCAGCAGCGCCGATGCACATGCGTGGATATCCGGCCATCCAGCGCCTCCGGGCGGTCGAGCACGCCTGGTTCGAGGCGAAGGAGGTGGTCGCTGCTGGGACGAAGCTGTAGCTGCGCGACTCAACGCGTCGAAGGAGGAGTACTAGCTCGCCTTTGTCCTCTCCAACTCCCTCTTGGAGCACCACCTCGGTGTCGGCAAGTCCGGTGATGGTGATGGTGACAAAGAGTAGAACTCCGGCGGCGAGTAGTTTAAGTTCAAGTATGAACTAGTTTAAGTTTGAAGTATATTTTATGAGCTATGTTTATATCACATGGTATGAACTATGTTTATGTGGAACTTCGGTGATGTTTAAATGGCGCAAACTATTAGTTTAAAAATCGAGTAAACTCCGGTGATCCTTAGGTGATTTTTACGGGATACCATAATCGAAGTTTGCAGGACGACGGTTTGCGGGATCTACCCGAGATGCTCTAAGATCCAACGGTCTCGATGAGACCACGTGGGATCTCTTCCTCGGCTGTCGGCTCGTGCCCCCGAGCAGGTGATCCAGGCGGCTGGGCATCGACTTCCCCTGTCATGGCCTTGGCCTCCTTCGCGGTCTCGCCCCCAACCGCCGCCTCCGCCGCCGTCCTCCGCCGCGCCATGTCGTTCTCCTCCGTCTCCGCTGCGTCGCAGGCGAGGGTGGGTGTGGTGCAGATGACCTCCGTGGGGGACCTCGACGCCAACTACGCCACCTGCTCCCGCCTCACCAAGGCAAGCCTTCCTCCCTTCCCCTAAGATCTAACCCTGCACCGCCGGGAGCATGGAGTTGATCGCCTGCTGCGATTTGGAACTGGAAGAAACATTTAGTTGCAGCGAGAAGGAGATATGCAAGTGTGTAGTTATCAGACAATGTGTTTTGGCTATTGAAATGAAGAAATTGTAGCATTTCGTCTCGGACAAAGCTAGTAAGAGAAGGAATTCTGCATTCGATATGCTCTTCTGGGATCTGGAATGCACGAATAGATGAATTATAAGCAAACCTTTCGAAACTGAGTTCTATGTCATGTGTGTGCTGCACCTATCGCAGTCCTCATTGGTTTTATTCTTTCTACACTACTTAATGCTGTTCTTTTTTGTTTTCCTACTTTATTGGTAGATAAATGCATATAGACTAACATGAGATAATATTTTCTTAGGAAGCTGCTGCGGCCGGAGTCAAATTTCTTTGCTTCCCTGAGGTCTTCTCCTTCATAGGATCCAAGGATGGCGAGTCTGTTAAGCTAGCCGAACCATTAGATGGCCCAATAATGCAGAGATATTGCTCACTTGCAAAGTTAGTAAGAACATCTTTCTCAATTGCTCACTTGTAAAGTTAGTAAGAATATCTTTCTCAATTTATTTTTCCATTTCAAAGCAGAGCTTTCTCACTTGTACTTTGTAGTGAGTAAGCCTTTTGATTTGATACGCTATCAGCTCTTTGATTTAGGAATAATTGTTTCGCACTATCTTACAGATGATTCTTTCTAACTATATATTCAGTATGTGGTTTTTTATTTCGTTCATCTGTTAGCTTACAAATATCTTTTAGCTTATATAGATACGTATGCAAGTGTATGTAATGCTCCTTCATTAACTATCTGTTGGCACAAAAAATCCTTGCCATTTTGAGGTTTTTAAATGGAGTGAATCAGCATGTCGAGCCCTTATCATAGCTTCATTCTGCAGTGAGTCAAGTATGTGGTTGTCTCTTGGAGGGTTTCAAGAAAGGGGCCCGGATGATTCGCACCAGTACAACACTCATGTATTAATCGATGAATCTGGAAAAGTTAGGAGCTCATACCGGAAAATTCATTTGTAAGTGCTTCTTTCACAGCTCTTGGGAGAAACTTGCTTTCAGTAATATTTGTGAGAGACTTGCATTCAGTAATATTTGCGAGTACTTTATTTTAGCTGGCTATATTTATCAGTCGTTATCATAGCTTCATTCTGCAGTGAGTCAAGTATGTGGTTGGGGCTTTCAGCAATAGAATGTTAAACAGTAGGTCTTCAATTTACATGGTAAGGGCAAATGATGCTATGAACTGAAGGGCTATAAGCTGCATATATTGTCACTTCCAGATAAGAGAAATGTTGATCACAACTACATTTGTCACGTCATATCACAGAGCTGCAAAATCATATTTCTGGACTTGTGTCTAAATAATGAACTTTTGGCAAATGACTGTTGCTTCTTTCTTCCTTTTACTTTTTCCTTCTTGTTGTGGTGCATTTGCAATACTGTAGTTCGGTAGTTAACCTTGGCATTGTTATGCTGAAGGTTTGATGTGGATGTACCTGGCAACATGGTGTATAAGGAAAGCCGTTTCACGACAGCAGGTGCTATTTATTAATCCCGTTTTCCAAGTTTTGTCTATTCTGTGCGATATATGTATATTTGCTAGAGTTGGTCTTAAATGAACATTTTATCCATCGGATTTGTTTTAAAATCTTGTAGATCTGTGGTGCATAAGTTTCTCTTATAAGTTTACTCTCATATTGAAATTATTATTAATTTCTAACTCGTTGTCACTTTTCTTAACGTCATGTTGTCGTCTAGTTAAACAACTTTCAATGATAGAGATCATGCTATAAGTATAATATGATATTCAATTGCAGTAATACTCTGTGTCCCATTTATTCTAGATACCTAAATTTGAACAGAATTGTTTATGGTGTATCTGGTTTGCCATTTGCAATATACTTCATTGTCTTAGAAGATTTTGCAGGACATTCATTATGGATTACCGGATATTTTAGTGTTCTCTGTGCGGTAAAGCTAAATGTTAGAAAATCTTGAAATCTGTTGTATGTGAGCCCATATCCAGGCTGGCCCATAAGGCCCAAGCCCATGTACCCGGCCTAGAAGAGGAGGAGGTCGTCGATGTCTGGCAGTTAGCACCGCCAGAGCTATCAAAAGGTTAGGCCAACTGCGACGCTGGGACGCATTAGGTCTGTTCGCGTCCGTTTGGGTCCTTGTCCGCCACGACCCATTTCTAACCCAAATTGGGGCCGGGTTTGCGTACGCGCGGACATGCCACGGACGCTCGCAATGCCCTCCCCTTGTCCTCCCCTAGCCCGCTTGTCTGTGGCACAAACGACCATTGTTCACCTCGCCCTCCACTGCAACACCCCGACCTCGTCACCCTCGCCGCCGGCACCCAGTTCCGGCCGCTTCGCCACCACCCCAGCTGTCGTGGTCGCATCCATCGACGACCCCACGGCCACCGCCGCCCACTCTTTGTCGGTGTTGTTGTAGCTACTCACCGCCATTGGAGGACTACAAGGCACGTCGAGGCCCAGGTCGCCGACAACACCTCTACCTCCATAGACACCGCCGAAGGATGCGGGCTTCCACATGCCTGTTGCGACGAGGCGAGGGCGGGCCCTTTCACTGGTCGCCCCTCTTCCACGCCCGAGGCAATGGGCGCCCGCAAGGTGTTCGGCCTTTTGCCCGGCCGAGCCTCCTCCACACCACAAGGTACGGATTCACCACAACTCCGAAGGGGCAATGATGGATAGCTCGGATGAGTTTTTTTTCAACAACATCCTATGTACATCGACCGACGATGTGGAATTCGTGGTTGCTTTTATGGTCGTCAACGAGCACATCTCGAGCTAGCGGCCAATGTTTAGGGGATCCATCCGAGGCCATGCTTCGGGCTTGAATCGTGATAGAGAAAGCAACCATTGCCTACTCTACGACGATTATTTCGAGCTCACAAGCCCACTTTTCAATGCCAAGCTTTTCCCGGGACGCTTCCGAATGGTGAGACATGTGTTCAACCGTCTTTGGGGGGGGGGGAGCGAGGGAGTATGATGATTACTTGCAATGCAAGCCCGATGCCCTTGGGAAGGTTGGCTTCTCTTATAAAAAATGTACTGCAGCTGTTCGGATGCTTGCATACGACATTCGCGGTGATGGCATTGTACAGGTTCTGCAAAGTTGTGGTTGCAATGTTTGGCAAGGAGTATTTAGAGAACCAAATGCTACGGATACAACTCGGTTATTAGCAATCAATGAATCGAGAGGCTTTCTGGGGATGCATGGAAGCATAGATTGTATGCACTGGGCGTGGAAGAACTGTCCATTTGCTTGTCAGGGGCAATATAAGAGACATTTTAAGGCTTGCACGGTCATACTTGAAGCCGTGCTATCACAAGATCTCTGGATTTGGCACTCTTTTTTTTGGCATGGCAGGTTCTCACAATGACTTCAACGTGCTTCAGCGCTCTTTGGTGTTTGCTAGGCTTTCTGAAGGCCAATCCCCAGATGTCAACTTTGAGGTCAATGGCCAACAATATAACAAGGGATACTACCTAGCTGATGGTATCTATCCTCAGTGGGCAACTATTGTGAAGACAACCTTGGAGCCCGTAGGTGAGAAGAGGGCTAGGTTTGCCCAAGAACAAGAGAGTGTTGGGAAGGATGTGAAGTGTGCTTTTGGTGTGCTCCAATCTCGATGGGCTATTGTTCGGCACCCTGCTAGAACATGGATCACTCAGAAGATGTGGGAGGTGATGACATGTTGTGACACAGAGCATACTACGGTCATGCCCATGGATGTACCTTCGTCTCCCAAGACACTAGGTGGACCCATGACTAGAGCTCGTGCAAGGGCTATCGAAACCGAGGTGAACTCGCTCCTCTCCCAACTAGCACATTCCACATGTGAGACATGGCTACTACCTCAAGCGGAGACCTTGTGTGTGATCAGGTACTCGGAGGAAGGCCATGAATCTGCTATGACCAATGGACAAGATGGCAAGGACATCAAGCGTAAGAAGCAAGAGGAAGAGCTGCAGAAGAACTACAGCCACCGGACGACCGGCCCTTACCGGACGTCCGGCGCCCTGAAAATCAGCCAGCCAGAAGGCCCAGCCGACGAACGTTACATCGGCCGGACGACCGGCACCTTCCAGCGGCGGGATGACTGACGCCCTTTGGAAGTCCGGTGCCACCTATCCAGAACCAAAATGCCAGAAGACCGAAGTCTTCCAGACACCCGAGACACCGGATGTCCGACATTCACCGGAAATCCGGCGACACCTGTCCAGAACCAAATCACCGGATGTTTGGTGCCCTCCGAACGACCGGATGCTCACGAGCCACCGGACGACCGGTAACTACCGGACGTCTGACCCCTTTCTGTGCACAGTGACTCGGGCCGAGGCCCATGTACCCCTTCACTCCCCTAGACTATATATATTTGTCTACTACCTACGTTTTAGGGTTAGCAAAGGTTAGAGCTCATTTGAGATAGAGCTATGCTCATCCACTTACCACTCCCATGGAGTTCAAGACCTCCATGTGAGAAGATCCCCCAAATGGATTCAAGACCCCTTCATGGGAAGATCCTTCTAGGATTCAAGACCTCTCTCCTCCAAGGATTGGGATAAACTAGTCACCTTTGTATCCTCTTGTGTTGACTTTGGATCCTTGTATTTCCTCTATGTATATGTGGATTTAGCACATGTGTGATTGGATCTTGTCTATTTGAGTGTTCATCTTGTGTTTCTCTTTGATTTGCTCTCTTCCCCATCTCCAAGTGTGAAAAGATCGACCATCAGGGTTCGACCCTACATCATGTTGTGTGATCATGCACAACATGATCGTAGAGGATGAACTTGATGGCAGCCTCTTTGACCAAAGGGTTTGATTTCCAGGGTGAGAACGTTGAGCCTGTGTATGGAGCGGCAACATATGCACAGTTCACCCAATTTCACCAAGAAATATGTGATTGGACAACTCATATTCAACTTCAAAATGATTTGGTTGAGCATATGTGGACTCACACAGGCAACCAATAGACGTATCTGCTATTTTTCTTTCAATGTATTTGATACAATTTCAAATTCATTTGGTTGTAAACTATGCGATTTTTATTTATTGTGTTGTAATAAAAACTATTTGACTTATTTGTTTAACCGTGAGCAATGTTTCATTTTTATTTGTTCTTCTGATTTATATGTATAGAATGTCCAATTTGAGAAAATTTGGTAACAAAATGGCCGAGCCGGACCAAATGAGTCGGCCGGTTGGGTGCATTGGGAAGAATGGCGCTGACAAGGCCGGACAGCGGCCAAAGTGGCGACCCAAACGGACAAAATGTGCATCCGTTTGGAGTTGGCCTTAGTCACCACATCCCTACATTGTATCAGAGGACGGGGCGTGAGGAGATGACGGTGGCGACGGCCGCTGAGGCAGCAGGATCCGGCAAGCAGACGTCGAATCTGGGCAAGCAGCATGCGAGGAAGCGGGGCTGCGTGCGAGCTTGTGGTGTAGCAAGGCAGCGCAGACGTCGACGGGACGTGAACGGTCACAGCGGGGCTGGTACATGTCCAGATTCCTCTGGCTCCTTGCTGGTCCTTCTGTTCTGCTGCTTGCTAGTTCTTCCCCTGGTTGCTGGCTCTTGAGGTTGGACAGGAAAGAGGTGGAAGAAGAGGTCTTGCTGGAGAAGGGGACAAGCTGCTGTTGCTGCGCAAGGGGAGGCGCGGCTCGGGTGTGTCTCAGCCTTGTTTTGGGACAAGATGAAGACGACACAGTGCTGAGCTGCGGCTGACTGCTGAGCTCTCGGTGCTTGGCAGAGGAAGCTTGTTGTAGGGTCAAACCCTAGGAAGGATCTTTTCACACTTGGAGGGGGGAAAAGGAGGAAAAACTCAAGAACACCAAGAACACCAAGAACAAATCTCTCAAACAAACCCAAGTATCACATCCACTAGAGTAGCACACATGAGATCCACAAGATTACAAGATCAATACAAGGAGAGTAGCACTTGGTAAATTCTTCCCACTATGTGAGGTCTTGATGATCTTCTCCAAGAGGAGGCCTTGATAATCCAATGGATTCTTCCCTAGGTGGGGGCTTGAGCTCCTAAGAGGAGGGGATACAAGGAGCAAATGCTCACAATGCTTAGTCTAATCTTTGCTAACCCTCCAAATGACCTAGGAGGTCCACTTATATAGTCTAGGGACGAAACAAGCTAAGGGAGGAGGATACAAAGGCCAAAAGGCCAAAACACGCGGATGGACCGGAGGGGTCCGGGCACCCGGGCAACATGGGCCGGGCACCCGGCCCGCACAGGGGGCGGCTGTAGGGAGGCTGGGCACCCGGGGGCCCAAGGCCCGGGCACCCGGGGGCGCGCTGGAGGCCGGCTGGAGGGGTGGCCGGGCACCCGGGGCTGCGCCAGGAGGCCGGCTGGGATGGGCCGGGCACCCGGGGGCCAAGGCCCGGGCACCCGGGGTGCGGCTGGAGGCTGGGCCAGGGGGGCCGGGCACCCGGCGGGAGAGGGCCGGGCACCCGGGCCAGCCAGGGAGGCCGCGGCCTTGGTGGCTGGAG